CAAAAAATCTATCTGCAGCTCTGTCTATTTTACATACCAGTTCTGTGACTTCTGTAAGAGTCTTTTACTGTATGTGTACATTGGCAATAACAATCTTATATACCTGATGTTGTCTTTTAAAAAATTAAATGAGAAAATCCACTTAGAATGCTCAGGCATAATGTTTGTCACACAGAAATAGCTTTTATTATTCCCCAAATCCCTATTAATATATAAAGATAGCATGCACTTATGTAAATAGATTAGTTTTTCTTCATGTACATAATCAGCCACTTCAAGCAGGGATTTATATGAAATTTGAGTTTCTTAAGCAAAACTTTAACATGCAATGCACCTATAAAAACATCTAAAGACACCTTTTAAATCCACTTCAGCACCATTATTAGAATTAATTGATAACACTCTTACCTGTATTTTCTGAAGACTTGCTGAAACTTCACTAATATTTTGAGGTATATCAAAACATTTGGCAGTAGTGATTTTTGCATTAACCATCCATTGCTGGAAATCTCTGCAGGCTTTTTGAAATCTTTGCTGTAAAATCTGCTCTTTATTCTGGCAGCCCTTGGATGCTTGCAAAGAGAGACTGAAAAAGTGATTGGAAAATTTAATGGAAGGAAAAAAATGGTAAAGTTGATTAAAATAATGTTCATAGAATCAGCAGTTCTTAGAATGTGCACTTACCTCTCTTAGTAATGTACTTAATGCTTAATGAATTATTGATATTATTGAAATTACACCTTAAATCTAGCTTCTAATTCTTACAAAAATATTTCAATTATCAAAAATGTTCATGCCTTACCAATTATATTCTTTAATCAAGCCAGAAACTTTTCCACTGTATATACTCAGGTCTCTCGAAAATCGACAAAGTTCATTCAGCTGAGACTTGAGGTCCTCTGTCCTAGGTTCTGCTTTCTGTAGAGCATCCAGTATCTCCTATTAGGAAATAACAAGACAGAGGAAAAAGCATTTAAATTGGGTAATTTCCATTCCTCATCAAATACATGCATAAATCGATATTATAAATTATTAGTGAGAAAGGAACTAACACAGTAAGTAGATTCAGTAAAGAAATGAGGCCTATTTTCAGAATTCCCTGTTGCAAATAATAGCACTTGGCTAATCTGTATCCTTTTCTAGCCATGGATAGACACTACAGCATCAAATGTTGTAAAGTAGTCAAATGATTAAGTGGTCAAATGTCTTAAATCAGGACCAAAAAAAGACAAAATAGCCTACATTGTTTTAAAACAGTCTGACTAAGCTGTTGGGAGACATGTATATTGTTTAAAGGTGAAAAGAAATCATTTCAAAGAAAATCAATACTCATTCTGGATTAAAAATGTGTGTGTGTGTGTGTGTGTGTATCAATTGATTTTATGTAGGAAAAATACAATACTCCATGCTTTTTTCACATTAAGACTTTCATATAATCCACAGGTCTGATTTAACTACTAATTCATTTATTTCATAGTTTCATTCATATAGCCATCAAATATTTGCTACATTCCTGCCATATGCCAGGCATTTTGCTAGATTCTGGAACCCCCAAATGAACAAAGGTGTGATTTTTGTTGTTGAAGAGCTCACAATTTAATAGTTGAGAGACACACATGAATAACTACAGTACTAGCTATACCTAATTCAGAATAAAGTCTTAGGACTTGACAAGCACACCTTCAAAATTGAGGCCATGGTCAACTGAGTTACGTGGGTGCTTTGCAGTCAGAGCCTTCCTCTTCTAGCATTGTCATAAGGAGCAAATGAGATCATGAATGTCAAATACTTAACACAATTCCTGGCAACACCAAGTGCCTTACTAGTCAAATAAGCAGGAAAATGACTCCCAAGTATTTAACCATTGTGTGGATAATGGTATCACCAAAGCAAAAAAATAAAATACATTAAGGAGGAGGGGCAAAAAGCCGAGTAACTATTCACACAACTGTTGCTGTTATTATTCTCTGAGATATTTATCGAGAGATGGCCTACATTTGCAGAGAAAACACATCCCTCAACAAACCAGGTCTGTGTTGCATTCCTCATCCTGGTAAATGGCACCACTGTCCTCCCACTGATGTAAATCAGAAGACTAAGCATCATTTTGGCCTCTGCCATTTGTTTCCCTTCTCTCTCCATGCAAGAGATACCCTGTCTAGTCTCTTCTATGTCCTCGCTCTTTTAATCACGTACCTCTTTGACTCTGCAAGTTGACTCTCACAGCCCCCACTGACATTATCATCATTTCTTTCTGTAATGGCACAATATCCTCCTAAATTGCCTCCTGTTCTCTAGTTTCCTTTCCTGTGTTATCTCATCTACCAGTGATTTTGCATCTTGGTTCTGTTCCTTCATCTCACCTAGCTGGTCGGGCTGAAATCGTACCTCAAGACTCAGCTCAAATAAGAACTCCTATAAGGATTCTCTGCCCTCCTTCCCACCTCTTAGGGCTTCTCCTCTGGGGACACACAGCACCTTGTGGGCATTTGCTACAATGAGCACCCCATTGGTTTTGCACTTGTTTGTCTTTCTGTCTAGTCTGTGATCATGAGAGTCCTTCCACCTAGACTGTTGTCGTGAGAGCAGAGATGGTGTCCTCTTGGTTTGTTGATTCTTTATTTAGTTCAGGGTCTGGGACAGAGAAGTCTAAAACACTTTTATTTACAAAACTTATAAATAATAACTAGATAGTTTCTCTCTGAAACTCCAAATGCTGAACTAGGAATAACTATTTTATACCATATTGAACCTTTTATTTAAGGGGGAACATTTTAGGAATTAAAGAAACTTACTACATACCAGAAAAGTGGAAATACTGAGATTCAAGCCAGTCACTTATAAATTGGATGACATTAAAAGAAAAAGCTTTTGACCAAAAATTTATACTTAAAAAACTTCTATAACTCCATCCTAAATTAAAGCAATTCAGCAGAGTCTTTCATTATGTAAATATCATGCTATCTACCATGATTTGGTTAAGTCCTAGAATGCATTTTTTCCTTACACAACTTAAGAAAATTGCTATATTTTCAACAGTAATAGCCCAATGGATATTAAGATAAATTAGTTTTGCAAACACAGTGAATAGGACTTTTTGCAACATTATATTACATAGTTTATAGATTATCTGTTTTCATGTTTTAAAGAATGTCTTGAGTACCATCATTTAATTGCATAAGATAAATGCTTATGAAGGTTCATGATTATTATTATGATTGTCAACCATGATAAGTCCTCTGTAACAGCAAAACAATGCCATAAGAACCCTGGCAAATCTACTATTTTGTGAACATTTTCCTACACATTCATTATAATTGAAATACCTCCATTTTGGGATAAAATGCCATTATTAGAAATAAAAGAAAATATGAATATTGAGAGGCAATGTAGCATTTTCAATGAAAGCACTGGCCTTGGAGCCAAATCTGGAAGTGGATGTTAAGCAGAGGGCTCTCATCTCTGAACTGTTAGTGCAACTGAAAACCCAAATTTACTATTGCATTCTCATATGTATTTTTATAGGCCTCATCTATTATTTTCACTAGCAGCATCAATGTAAAAAAATAGCAATAACTGAGAACAATAATGTAATCTAGGTACAATTTCACTCATATAAATGGAATGGGAAAAAAAGAGAAATGAAAAAGAACCAAAGCAGTGGAACTGATTTTTTCATATTGGACTACATGAAACAATGACCAACTTCTTTGTACCTGTTTTATAAAACTAATTTCTATGTTTTATTCTGGGGCATAAATGTAAAGGAGAGGAAATGCATCAGAAAAACAAAAACTCTAGAAGCATTATAAATAAAATAGCATAAAGAGATGATTACAACGTTTTATTTTATGATGTGCTGCATTTGTTTCAAGCACTTTATTTAAAACAAAACAATGCCGCAAATACTAAATGACTTTCTTACGGGCTGGAGCTATTTTGAAATAATTATAACATAAATAGAAGCACTGAAGTTTACTTTACCAAACTTCCTTTTAAGGACATCCCTGATTCAGAGCATTATAAAACTGCAAATATTGAAAAGTTTTTCAAAGATACTATTTAACAAAGGAAGGAAGAGGATTTTAAGCTTCTGCCCATTCTTCACTATCCCTTTTATGCCTCCTTTTCTCCCTTTCTCACGTTCTAAAAGAGCTGCCATTAGTTTAAAAAAAAATAGAAAGGCCCGGGAAGGCAACCAGTGAGCGTGACATAGAGGTTCTGTGAACGGGCTGATTCAAGTACAGCTGTCAAAACCACACAGAGGGGAGCTAATCAGGGCAAACACTATCAGTTATGCTTTAGGAGATTACCAAATGATTGCATCAAACTGAAAACTCAGTCATTTAAGTGTTCGAAATAGTTAACTGGCAGGAAAGCAGCTATGACTCTCTGTCTATTTATGCCTCTGCCCACAGGCGAATTTTCAGACTGAATGGCTGAATGCGATATTACAAACTCTTACACCATAGGAATGAAAGCAAAATGTCTCCACTAACAATTAACGTTTCCTATGGTAAATAATAACTTCTTCTCCCACAAGTCTTTAGTTTTACAGAAGTTTGATTTATGAGAAAAGGAAAAAGATCAGACTTTGCAAATTTAATTAGATAAATACTCACTTCTTCCAAGTTTGAATGTTGCATGTTTTTAGTTAGCAAGCATTTTTTTTTTTTTTTCTGGCAACAATGAGCCAAAAAAATTTTTTTAGTGTAACCACCAATAGAAAACAGGAAGCCACTTACTTGTCCTTTATGCCAGCCTTCCACTATCTCCTTATCCGTGTTCTTGCCTTCAAGGAGGGTTAACTGCTGAGCCCAAGTTTTCAGAAGGGCGCTGAATTCTTCCAGGGCCTGCTCCAGTTGAGCCACTTGGCCTGAGAACTCCTGCTCCGAGAGGGCCATTCGGCTCACCAGGTCCTCCAAGCTGTGCTGCGTTTGGAGTGCGCTGTCTTCCCACTGCTTCCAGTCGGAACGCAGGGCCTGCATCTCCGTGTGCACGAGCTCACACCCGCTGGCCGTCGTGCTCTGTTTCACTGCAGGAGCCAGCGCCTCCACTCTGCTCAGGCGGCTCGCACCAACCTCTCTGGAATCTATCAGCTCCTGTAATGGAATGTCGCCATGGTAACCAAGAAGGCTGTGAGTCAGTCACTTGGGCTGCAAGTTTCCAAATGTGTACACAGAGGGACCCTGTCCTGCTAGGAAGTTTTAGCAAGTGTGCCACAAGAAAGGAACCAGAATCAATTTATCTGCCTACCCCCAAGTTATCGCAGCAGGGAATTATCATCTTGAGCGCCCAGCCTTGTGGCAAAAATAACCTGAGAATCTGCAACATCTTGAAACAGACAAAGGAGGGACTCTGAAATCAGGCACTGTTGGAATATATGAAAATGTTTCAATAGTGACTTAAATATTTGCCTGGGGTGTATTGCTCCTGTAAATAAGCGAATTCATATTTCCCCCTAAGAGGACGGATAAATGAATAAAGATCACAGCAGAAGTGTGTTCTGCTCACGGTTTGTACCCAGTTTTTATTCCTCTTCCACAAGATGGGGGCTTAAACCACACTTAAATTTTACCAGGAATCAAGCTTGCCCATCACAACAAAAGAAAGAGCCTACTCAATTTCAAATACTTCAGTACATTAAGTAAACATTTTTATAGCAACTAAAGTGAATAATTCACAGGCTGACAATCAAAACTTTAATGTAACCTCTAGACTGGCTTCATTTATTATTATTATTTTTACCTTTTAAAAAAATTCACTAGAAATTTAACAATTTAGCTATAGCTTTTAGTCTTTAAAGGACAAGAAGATAAAATTAAAATATTGATTGTTAAATAAGTATAATAGTGACATTTCTGTCTATGAATAGATTCTTTCACTGAAATTTTTCTTGCTGAAATTATCATCTCATGTTCGTATATTTATATATTTGTTGTTAAAGCCAGGATTTTGTTAATACTAATACAAAATTATGACTTTACTCCTGGATTAAACAGAAGAAAAACATGATTATTATCACCAAAAAACTTGAAGAAGAAAATCAATTACAAATTAACAAGTAAAGAAAAACTGAGATGTTAAGAATGAAGCATGCTTTATAAATTACATTAAGCATGAAGTATGTCTTAACTAGTATACATAATACAGTTTGTATTTCATTAAATTAGCTTGAAATAAATATAACTTCTCACAATTATATACAATAGAGCCACATTTTAGTGTAGATCATTTGAAAGTATTTAGTTATGTATCGTCCAAAGTACAATCACAAAAAAATCCTTATACACAATCAGCATTTTATTCACATTCAACCTTTCCTCTGCAACAGGATCTAAAATCCATCCCTGTTTGTCCATGCATATAGTAATTAGTGATTTGGTGAAGAAAAATTACAACTTTATAAAAAGTGTTATGTCTAACTAATAGATTTAAATACCTGCAATAATATGCCTTTACCAGCAATTTCAGATTCGGAGTTCAGAGGGCCTAACTTGTCAAAAATCAGTTTCCTAATATACTCTGTCATGTATTTATCCCAATTTTCTTTGGCGTGAAAATAGAACATCTCAACATTTGTAATCACTGATTCCGCTTGTCCAGATTTTGAATAAGGTTATTACTTTAAAGTATTTTGAAATGACTTTTATATACATTTTCTTGTCTTGCTTTAAAAATATTATAATACATACACACATAAATACATTCATACCCTCACACAGACATTTCGCTTTAGAGTTGCCTCTTCTTGGTGGTTACTCCTGGAGATGGAGGTGGGAATGACACCCAAGGGCAGAGGAGGGGGTCTCTATTTATTTCATCTAAGGCTGTCTCCTCACCCACACACCAGCCTACATTCAGGCCTCACCTGAACTTCTGAGAGGCAGTCTCCGACATGCCTCACTTTCTCCTTCCCGAACTCTAATTTCTTTCTGTCAATTTCTTCTCCTATACCTCCCATCTTTGTGGAAGCATTTTATAAAAGCTTTTCTTAATTAATTCATTAGTCAGTTAATTAATTCATCAATATAAAGAAAAGCATTTTGCAACCCAAGAAGCATTCTTTGTAAAAGAATTATCTTACTCTCTCATACCAATTTTTCAAAACCTTAGTCCACCGTTGCTAGCTCCTCTTCCTCTCCTGCTTTTCATACCCAAATCCACATAATCTGGTGTCTCACCTCACCTCGCTGTGGAAATGGCTCTCTAGGTGATTGCTGAATAATAGCCTGTCAAGTCCAGTGGCATTCTCTAGTCCTCCTCTTAATGTCAGCCTCCTGCCTCATCTGTGATGGTGACCACCTTCTCCACACAGGGCCTCGGTGGCATGAACCCTCCTAGTCTTTCTCTTGCTATTTCTCCTCTTCCTTTCAAATCCTTTTCTTCTATGGCCCCTTAAATATCAATAGTGCCCAGGGTCCTGTGCCCATTGTTCAAATAAGCACATTTGCATAGAGCAATGTACATGAACAATGTTACCTTTTGCTCACAAACGTAAAGTTTTTTAAATTCTTTTTTAAAAACAACTTGATTTATGTTTAGAATTTGTGACATGTGAGGTAATAAACACCAAGAGATAGAAAACATGAAAGAAACATTTTAAATAACAGAATCTTATCCACCAAATCTTTACACAAATATGTTGCACTTGAGAACCAATGAAACAATGTAGTTATAGTATCTGTTCATTTTCTGACCTTAATTTTCTTTTTTCTTTTTTTTTTTTTTTGTCTTTTTTCCGTGTCCAGCAACGGATCGCAACCCTCAGTGTTNCGGGGACCGGCAACGGGATCGCAACCCTCGGTGTTGCTCCCGCGCCTCGCTCAGCCAGTGACTGACCTTAATTTTCAACAACTTTTTCTGCATGGCTGATGAGTCTCCAGACATATCTGACCACCGGTGAAGTTCTTCCTTTGCTGAATGGAGCCAATCTGTGAATTCCTGGACTGCATCTAAGTACATTAGATGGTCTTTCACAATCTCTTCTGCTTTCCTCATTTTCTCCTAATAAACAAAGAAAAAGCTACATTAACAGTAGTCGTCACTGAGAACATGAAATCAGATAAGACAATAGGCCTGATTTAGGTCTCTTAATGTATCTCAAAGGATTTCATTCTTAATCTTGAATTTTCTCTGAGTTTAATATCTTTAAAAGAAACTATCACATCTTAATTACATTGAAAGACTGAGGAGCAACCACTTTTTCTATAAGTTTGCTATTGACTAGCTCAGCAGAAAGATCTATGCTTAATGAATGCTGGCTAACATCCCTCACTAACAACCCACTTAATAATAATTATTGTAATGACTATTGTCATTATTCAAGCAATTATCTGTGTTAACTTGGTGTGCAGCATTCTGCTCAGCACCTGAAATGTGTTTGGCCATTTGATCCTCACAAGAGCCCTGTGACGTACATACGATCCTTATCACCATTTTACAGGAACCGACACTCAAGCTTACAGAGGTTAAGTAATGTGCCCAAAGTCACACATGCAAAAAGTGTCAAAGCCAGAACTCAAACTTAGGTCTTTTTGACTCCAGAGTTGTAGCTCTTAATCATTGCTGAGATAAAAATGAAGATAAACAAACACGAATGTTAATAATTGTAATATCATTTAGACAATGAGAGTTCCCAAAAAGCAAACCAAAGAAAGAAAGCAAACAAAATTCTCTCTCAATTTCTATAATGTTCACAAATATCCAAAAGAAAAATGATGGAGCAAAATAAAGATTCACATATGGAATTGAAAAGGGTTTTTTTTTGTCTTTTTGTGACCGGTAAGGGGATCACAACACTTGGTGTGGTGTTGCCCATACCACGCTCAATCAGTGAGCACACCAGCCAGTCCTATATAGGATCCGAACCTGTGGCGGGAGCGTCGCGGCGCTCCCAGCGCCGCACTCTCCCGAGTGCGCCACGGGGCTGGCCCGAAAAGGTTTTTTTGATATTACATAAAGAAGGCTATACTTGGGAGAATAGAAAAATGCAGTTTTTACTAAGATGAGAAATGAACACCATACTTTGTACAAAATTGAAATCTGGGAGGCAAATACACTTGTATTTAATATAACAAATATAAGTGTATAAAAAGAAAAAGGTCTTTAAACACTGACAATTGATGCTCACACAATTTTACAAAGAAGTTAGGTGAGTTGACTAACAAAGTGGAGAAAGGTGAAAGATATGGAATAAAGAATAATCCCAAAATTGCAGAAAGAGAAAACTACATGAGCATTCACAGGTGAGAAATGATCTTTATGTAATATCTAGTCACCAAACGTACAAGTAGATTTAGAGCAGCCAATTCTCCAATAATTTAACCCACAGTATATTCTTTACCTGAGCCTTGAAGCTTTTTCTTTGATACAAAGCACTGACCTTGGCAACAGTTGTTATATCATTAAACTGTGTCTTCAGCTCCTCTTGAACTATTTCCTTGAAAGACTCGTCCCCAGTCTTCTCATAGAGCTCCCTGGACTTTGCAGTTAGGAGGTGAAGGGCTCCGGCATGATCTTCTGCCTCAGACACAATAGACTGAAAGTGGTCCAACAGGGAAAACTTCTCTTTCAGACCTGGCTGCACTTGTAAGGGATGTTCCACTGTTTGATCCACTGATTCCATCCACTGCTCCAACTGGTTTTTCCTCTCTAGATAGTCGTTCCATTGGCTAATCACAGACTCTAAAGTGCTAGAATTAATGTCACATTATCAAAATGAGTTATCTTGATATCATTACTGCAAACCTATTACAAATGACAAGGTCATTACATCCATGTAAATTATTTTACTGAATGCTACTGTAGGTGATGAAAATGTTGCTTTGGAGTGCAGGGAGAAACACTACTTCTCTGATCCACAAGATCCATAACACAGTTCCTTCAAACCAAGTAAATCTATGTTAAAATTTGAAGTAAGAAGCTGTAGTCATACATACATCTGGAGATTTGTCCTCAGTGAACAGACACATTTATGTGTTATGTTGTTAAAAATCAGTACTAGGACAACAATTAGATTTTATTTAGTATATATCAGTTCTTAATTTTCTTGGGGATAGTTTATCTAATTAAAATCAGAAGGTAATTATTTGCTGACTGGAATTTACAAGGTATCTTCCTGTGTAAATAATAGTATTAGATTGATTTCCATTTAGGAATACACACATATAATATCCAGTGCTTCTCTGTTGAATGTGTAAATGAATTTATGATGAAGGTTGAGAAACAATGTATTTATAATATAAGAAACATAGTCACAAATATAACTGCCAAGTAACAGCTTTCTAGATAGTCAAATTAAAGGCTCTTCAGACTGGCATTTAGAAAGACCTCCATTGCTCAACTTTACAAATGATTCCAAACTCATCTTCAGTGACTCTGACAGCCTTGCTTGCACACAAGCATATGATCCCGAAGTTACAATCCTCTGGTACATAAACCTCCAGCATTTGCTCCAATTGTTGATTTTGCATCAACTGGAACCTCTTCATACTGCTCAATATGTAGCTGTCAAATTTAATTTCTTGCCAAAATAAGGAAGTCAAATATGTGAATCCCTAATATTCCTTCACAAATCTAAAAGTTATTATAGTTATTAAAGAATCAAACATCCTTGCTTTGATGATTTGAAAGAAGGTATTTTACTGAGCCTATGTTATGTGCAAGATTCTATGAGAGATATTGGGGAGATGTGAATATTTAAAAAATAAAACAGAAACACCGAAGGAAAATAAACTAACAAGCAAAAACCAGTCTTTTTGCCCTATGGAAAATACAATGTAGGCAAAGACAGGCATGCATACCGCCAGCTAAAATAACACGCGTGGTAACTCAAACACTGCATATCTCCATCATTTTACTAAGCAACTGGGTTTTATTTAGGCAGATAAACACCAAAAATAGGCTCTGTACCTCTGAGCATGGGTGGAGGAGCTCATGACTTCAGCCCACACATCTTTAAGGGTCTGTAGCTGAGCCTGAATCACCTGCTGACCTTCTGCATTGCTACTTTTCAAGGCCTGTTCCCCTTTGCCAATGGCCATATTCAACTTAACTTCTCCTTCACCTTTCATCAAGAGAACCTCCTAGGAAGGAAAGATAAATACTTGTCAGTAGGAACATGAAAACTTTGGCTATTTTTAAAACGATTGTGTTTCCCATGAGAATTAAGGTAGGAAATCCCTTACTCACCTTAAAATAAAAACAATAGCAGCTTCTAACTCTGGACCCTGTGCAATATAACACTTTACTTAAATTAGATATTTGGGTGTCTGGGTGTCAAAGATTAAGTCCAATTTAAATTCCTAGAAAGCTTTGGGTCAGTAGCCTAGAAATTATAATTTTATTGACTTCAGTTTCAAAGAGTAAAAAGAAATTCTTTCAAAAATAAAGACACATCTGCCCAAAACCCAACAGTCCCCTACCTGCATTGCCTGGCTAATCCCCCTCTTTAAAGGTCACCTTCACTGACTACAGTCTGGTTGGAGATCTCCATTATGCTTTCAGCAAAACCCTGTTTGCTTCAACCATGGCCCTTCCATACTCATCTGCACTGTACTTACTGCAAGTAACAATTTACAGATTGGTCTCTCCCACAGGCTGTGAACTCCTAGAAAACAAGCACTGACTTTACCTCTACATTCTCGACAACTTGCAAAGTAAGGAGCAGAATAGGTACTCAATAATACTTGCTAAATATTTACTAAATGAAATTAAAAATTATTTTAAAGCTATAAAACCAAAAAATTTTCCTTTACAAAGGGGAAAAATGACCCCTCCACGCCCTTTTTCCCAAATTTCTTCATTTTGCTCACATAATCCCCACTTAGAGGCTCACAGAACAATCAGGACCCAACTCAAACATTTGTGAATCTAATCAAATTAGCCTTCAGCAGCTGTCAGTAGCTGGCTGGTGCCGTATGTACCTGTATTTGTGACAGCCGTTTTTCCAGGGTGTCTTTGCTCCCAATAGTGCTCTCTGCACAGGCCAGTCTGTCCTGAACGTCCTTCACCCATGACCACATGCTCTGCAGCGCTTCCTCCAGGGCTTCATGCTCCTGAAGGGCCACCTGGCAGCTCCGGAGTTTTTCTTTGGTCATTCTCACTAAGTTCTGGTAGCTGGCAAGGAGTTGGGAGCACAGGCGTCCTTCTTTCCCAACACCGTGACCTTCACTGAGAAGTTGCCCCCTCTGAGAAAGCTTATCAAGAGACTCTCTTAAAAAGAAAAAAAAAAAAAAAATATATATATATATATATATATATATATAATTCTAACATGCTAGAGTGTAGAGGAGCGACATGATTGTTGGTGTTTGAGCAGTCACCAGACAAGAGCTCACACTAGACATGCCTTTCAAATCAAGATGCTGGGAATTGGGCTGACTATTTGCTTTCTTGTACTGTTTCTTAATGTGGTCAATACACATCAGGGATTCAATCCATGCTTTGCCTATATCCAAATAGCAGCGTTGGAGACTACTGTATTAGCAAAAAATTCAGTGCAGAAAATGGGATCTGGCTACCTCTCCAAGCTGATACCTAGTATCTCTCCATTTCTACTTAATCTTCTAATGTGAAAAGCTCCCTAAACTTCTCAAAACACTTTGGTTGTTTGTATCTTTGTGAAAACCCTTTTGCTCTCTGTTTCTTTCCTTGTTGCCCCATCAAAACTCAGTGGAGGCATCACATCCCCAAGAAGCATCTGCGACAACTCAGGAGAGGGCAGAGAGCACAGGATCCTCTTGTGTGTGCCCTCTGCTCCTTGTCTGGCTCTGTCACCTCATACACCATCTGCCTCAAGCTACAAGGCTTTCACCTTTCAGAAGCCAAGGCTATTACATTCATTTTATATCCCCAGGACCCAACATAATGTTGGGAAGTGACAAAAGTCCCTTTTAGGAGTGCTTATGGGTTTCCTTGTTGTATATTGAGTATTTTATTCACCTCCATTCGGAGCTATGTTAATTAAGGCAAAGGAAAAATATAATCACTATGTGGCTTGGTTGGTTTCATCGTATTTTACAGAGTTCTGAATTCTTATCAGCACATCTGCCAGAAAAATCCAGGGATACCAGAGGGGAGAATGGAGATGTCTTAAAACAAACTGTTGTGACTACCAGAAAAAGAACACAAAGCTTATCTCCTACAATGTCAATTTTTCTTCTGAGAGGCTATTAAGTAAACAGCATCCTATGGGCCACCCTGAGAGGTACAGAGTTATACGACATTACACCTACTCTAAAAGACATTTATTACACTTGTAATCTGTGTGAGGAGACAAAAAAGTGGCTCATATAATGATGTGAGCTAAATAATAATTCAAGACAAGAGATTTCACTTGTTACTACAAGATGAATTGCTTAATGCCTGATAAAAATTCAATGAGTCTCAAGTCTGTGTACTTTTATACATGGCATCTCCCCCAAATATTTAAAGTATTAGAAACATTATGATGAAAATATCTGGGAGTCTGGAAGCAAGCAGCAAGCCTGTGACAGAAGTCAGGTGACTTGGCCCGAGAACCTCAGTGCTGGGCACGGTGCATGAGGATTGTCCAGAGAAGTGGCGTTTGGAGGGAATGAACCTGAGAGCAAGCACACCTGAGGTCTGTTGGCATCTGGTCCAGGAATATCAGAGAATAAGGCTTTGAGAAGAACTGTGTGCTTATCAACAACTAAAATCTGCAATTATTAGAAAAACAATGAGGAGTAAAGAAAGACATTGAATTTGGTGATGAAGAGTATTGGGCTACTTTCTCCAATGCAGTCCTGGTGTAAGGATGGCAGGAGAAGTAGATAGAAGGAAAGCTCAAAAGCAGCCTGTGGAAAAGAAATGTAATGTCATTAAAAAGTCTGGAAGAAGGAAAGAAGTAGGTTTGGTTATGTTATTTTGTGTCTAGATAAGAATCAAGATTTAAAAAGCAAAATAAAGTACAGAGTAAGTTTCAGAAAGTTGTATAGTTAGAACGATGCTATTTTTCAGCTAGTTGAGTGAACACTTTCTATTTTCCTGGAACTATACTGGACAATGGGAGCATGAACATAATAAAGAACTTTTAAAGTCCCTGACCTTGAGGAACTCATAGTTGGAAATTGGGACACACAGAGTAGACCAAGTTTATACCACAGTAAGAGCTCGCAGAGATGGGACCAAAGCATTTCAGAGAAATTTTACGATAGTCCTCAAACTAGCACACCAACAGGTAATTGTCCAAATGGGTTCTGTTGTTCATTTTCTTTGCAGGCTTGTTTTTCAAGACTAGTAATACTAGGCATGTTTGAACAAAAATAGGATTCAGTGGAAATGGGG